AGTATGGAGCAGAAGAAAAGTACCTGGCGATTGGTTTAAAAAAGCAGGTAACTGCTCAGCACCTGAAGAAGGAGCGCTTTGTCTTCCTGACTCAGACCGTCCCAGAGAAGATCAAACAGCATGAGGAAAATGCAGAACGCAGCGAGCTGTAGAAAACTCACATCTGGTCTCTGCTCCATCAATTTTAAAGTAATTAGACTAAACCATAATTCCCTTATCTAAAGGTCTTGTGAAGATTATCCATATTCTAATATACAATGAATATTTTGGCATTTTCTTTTAATGGAATCCCTGATTTTGTTTTTCAAAGAAAAAAATGTCATTCTTACATTTTCACAAAACTGTAAATAGACTGTCCAGTAGGATGAAAGTATTAACAATAACTGCCAATCTCAAGTCACCTGCGTGTTACCAGGGTATTTTAAATCTGGCACTGTAAAAATAGGTTTTGCAAAATGATAAAACATTTATAAAATGAAAAGATTTGACAAACCAATATTGCAGCACTTTGTTTGTCTGTGACCTTTGCTAGTATTACCTGAAAACTTACCACTCCATTCCCTCAAATATCCTTTGAGATGCAACATGCGTTTTTTCATATTTTTTTCTTACATTTTCTCTTGTGTGCATTCAACCTTCAGAAGTCCTCCCGAGCAACTGTGTCAACACCTCTGTGTCTGTGTGGGTCATGAGAAATGCAATGCAAGCAAAAACAACTGCACTTGTATTAATTACTGTATCATAGTTCAAGAGCCTGTGACACAACATGTGCTCATATGAATAAACTTGTAACCAAATTCACATTTTGAGCTTTTCAGACAGGCAGACGAAAAAAAAAAAGGATTGCAAGAAAAAGTTGGTCATTACGATAGCGGCGAAACTTTTCTGGAGTGAGTCCTAAAGCTTAGACTTTAGATTGGACTTTAGTCCAGTGATGGTTTGGCGTAAACTGAATGACAGCATATCTTGCTAGAGACACTATATTTTCCTCTTTGTGAAAGAGAAAAGAAGAAGCCTTCATATGAGGACGCACTTCCTATATCTCTTTGTTCTGCGCTCAGTTCTTGAAAAATCTGCAGAATTTAGCAATCCACAGAGCTGACCATGGAGTTGCATGCAAAGCACAATTTCTTCTTCTTTGTATCCGGTTTATTCCTCTGTGCTGCTGCAGAACTTCAGGGTAAGTAGGATAAAACTGTTCTTAGCAAAATGACCTTTGTAACATCACCTAATTTCTGTGTAATGCGTGTGTTCTTTAAACCTACGTGTAGTGCATGTTTTTCTTCTTTTTCTTTATTTTTGCAAAGTCGCTTTTTGAAAAACTTCTTTTTAAATCTGGCTGTAGTATCATCTTCAGTGGTATTATGGCTATAATAGTCATAATAAACACTGATAATTAAACATCAACTTTTGTGTTCTAAGTCCAGGTGACTTTTTACCTACAAACTGTGTTCAAAGGTGAACGATAGCAAAGAACCAAGTATGGTGTACCCATGGGAGATCATAGTATGTCAGCATTTCTTTTGCAGGACAGATAAAACGTCCTTTTTTAAAATAGCACCGTGCAGTTTTTATTTATTATTATTAATTTGTTAGTTGCAGAAAAAGCAGCCCCACCAATCTCTCTCTCTCTCCCTCTCTGCATATGTATGTGTGTGTATGTATGTATATGTGTGTGTGTGTGTGTATGTATGTGTATATATGTATGTATGTGTATATATGTATGTATGTATGTGTATATAT